AAAAAAAAAAAAAAAAAAAAAAGAAGTAAAGGTCTGACATGGGTTCATTCTAACACTTTTGCTTGGCAATGATATGCCTTTTTGGATTTTTTTTAGCTCTTTGTAATAGGCTGCATTCTTTATATTAATAGTTTTCCATTTAGAGAGTAAAGCTCAATTTTGCGGTTACTCAGTATTTATTGTTTTACTAATAATCATGATAGTTTTACTTATGATAAAATGGATCAAAGGAATTACAAACTTAATTGGTAATTTCTAAAGAAAAAATATAAGGGTGGTAAATTTAATGGACTTAAAAATTGTTTCCAAGCAATTATGAACCTTCAGTATTTGAAGTTAAAAGACCAAGTCGTAATGTATTGCTTTCTACCAGAGAGCTGTGCTGATCAGGCACTCTGAGCAGCTGTGGATCTTACATAGGGTGGTGGGAGGAGCGGACTTGAAGGATTGGCAGACTCTCAGGGCATAAGAGGGTTGACATGATCTGGAGAAACATGGCTATGTGAGCGAGGCTGCTGTGGGTTGGTTAGCACTCCCAGGCTTGTGGATTGGAGTAAGTTTGTGTTTGATTGCCTGTCTTTCAGAAGCAAGTGGCCTACATTGATTCTGGTTGGTTGATTGACTATATTTAGAACTGGCCGTGGGTGGTTGCCTGTTACTACCATGCTACAGGTCAGTTCTTTCCTAAGTCTGAGGCAACTTTAAACTGCAGTTTTCTGTTTAAAAGTTGCCTTCCATCAACTATGTTCAAAATGAAAATGATTTCATATTCCAGAACTATATAATTAATTTGGATGTATGGGTCAAGAGGAATTGTTTAATAATTGGTCTCAGCAAGATCTCTCTCTCCTTTTTTTTTTGATGCTTAGTCTTAACCAGAAGAGTTCTCTATATAGTTAAAAACAAACAGCAATTATTAGTTTTGTTTCAGTTTTTGGAATTTTCAGAGGCTTCTGCTAAACTCCTAACATAATCTCAAGTGGTAAATGTTTGTCTCTTTGTTAATGTGTATAGCTATATGATAGTGATACTCTTTTTTTTATTCCTTAATCTATTTTGTTGTTGTTGTTTGCTTTCTGTTCCATGTAATGGTAGTGATGCTATGTGTGTTTTCTTCATAAAAAAGTAATTACAATTTTCTGCTGGCAAATTCAGCTTTCTGTGTTAAGACTAAAAACTAGACTAAACATATAGAAAATTTACCAAATTATTTTATTTTCAAACAAACTTCTATAATAAAAATATTGCTATTTTTGAACTGTATACACTGACATTGAGGAATTTTAACAGTAAGATTTTTTTCTTCCCAAGACATTTTCCTGATTTCTTTAATGTGATATGTGCCTGTTATTTTTAAAACCTTGTTTAAACTGTTTAAATATTATTATATTTAAAAACAAAACCCAAAACATAGAGCAGATCTAATTACGAGTTTCACGTCTAAGAGTCACTGTCTGTATGCTCCAGCTGTCTGATGTAGCATTCATCTTCCATTCTTTTCATTGTGTTTTACTCTCCTCCTTTCAAGTTCCCAGGAAACACCTAGACTCCATGGGACTAGTCTTTGTGCTCTCATTCTGTTCTCCAAGTGGAGTCATTTTCTCTATTTTTCCCTGGTGAGCTCCTATTTTGCCTTTTCTGTAAAGCCTTTCTTGTGCTAAAATATAACTTTTCATATATCAACTCTTACACATTGTATCATAATTGTATATTACTTGTTTTTTGAGGCAGGAAACATATTTCTTTATATGTTGGTAATTCATAACTGTGTTTTTTAAATTAATGAATTGAGATAGGGAAGAGTTGGAATTTTACAAAATTGTTTTTTATTTGTTATCAGTAGAATTATTATAAAACATTGGCTTTTTATAGATTTTTTTTTTTTTGAGACAGAGTCTTGCTCTTTTGCCAGGCTGGAGTGCAGTGGCCCCATCTTGGCTCACTGCAGCCTCCGTCTCCTGGATTCAAGTGATTCCCTGGCCTCAGCCTCCTGAGTAGCTGGGACCACAGGTGCATGCCACCATGCCTGGCTAATGATTTTGTATTTGAGTGGAGACGGGTTTCACCATGGCTAGGATAGTCTCAATCTCCTGACCTCATGATCTGCTCGCCTCGACCTCCCAAAGTGCTGGGATTATAGGTGTGAGCCGCTGCACCCGGCCAGATTTTTTTAAAGTTGTGGTTCTGCATTACATATGAAGGAAGTAAAGAAAAACGAAAATAAAAAATGGACCTCAAAATAATATGATTACACCAATGTTTGAGAAGGCTAATTTAGTAACTCATGGTCTGCTGCAAGTAGATGATGACAGCGGTTTAAGTGAAATAGGTGAGGATGAAAGGAGGTAAAATTTAAACGTTCTTTATTTCTCTGAGAAGGAACATTTGCAGTGGTTACTTTTTCTGGAAATAGAATAGTGTAGACTGCCAAAGCTAGAGGATACTCAACTATATCAACACTGAAAGACCGATTATTCTGAGGGCTGGTGACTTTGACAAGGAGCAGTTTCAATAAATAAATGCTGTGGAATCCTGACTATCGTGGATAAGCATAGACACCCCTTGAGGGAACATTTACTGGGAAAGACAGTAGAGAAATGGCTGAAAACTGAAGAAGAATATGGAATTCAGGGACTTTTCTTTCTTTTTTGTTTTAAAATAGAAGCTTTTAGAATGTGTTTGTATGATGCTGGTAATGATCAGGAAAGAAGAACATGTTTATGAGATTTAGTTTTGTTTGCATGTCTCAGTGTTTGAAAGCTCGACTCATTATCTTTCATAGCTTTTAGCAAACTAATTGTCCTTAAAATGTTTATTCATGTAGAGTTTTATGGTAAGAGTTTGTTCCTTCAGCATTGCTTCAGAAATGTAACATTAGTCTAACTGAGCATGTAAATGTGAACTAAAATTTAAACTGTTATATATAGATTTTTTTTAAGTTGTGAAATAATAAACATGCGAACACTTAGGCCATACTGAATAGAATTTAAACATCCCTTGATGAATAGGTATGATTTGCTAAGGTACTCTAAAATGTCAGGCGTATCAACTTTAGAGTCGTTTAGATTCTGGGGAAAATGGGAGGGTTTTGTTCAAGTACTTTAGAAAAGCTAATTATTGACAGTCTGTCACAGATTATTACTTCTGGCATATAGAGTTTTAAAAAAATTTAATCAAGTTGACCCACAATGGATTCTAAAGTTCTAAAGTCTCAAAACACCATGTTTCCTTGGACCAGCATTGCCATCAGCATGTATTGTGTGCTCAATTAGTATTTATTTGTTAAATGTGTGAATAAATGGGTGAATACATGAATGAATGCCTGTTGATGAATTTCATTAAAAATGATTTTTAGTTTTTTGAAAGGTTTCCAAACTTGCCTCTGTATAAAGTTTTTTTATTAGAAAAAATTGCAAGATTCTGAAATTATTATTTATAGTTGTAGTTAGAAATGGAATAACAGTATGGATTCATCTGCTGTCATATCTCTTTAAAACACTTGAAAATAAAGGTTACCTTCACAGCATCTCATGAAACACATGTTTTTGAGGTAGAATTCTTGGGTATGAGTGCTGGGTCTGCTACTGGCCAGCTGTATCGGCTGAGGAGAGTCATGGGACCTTTCTGTGCCTATTTTCTTCCTTTATAAAATACCTAATATGTCACCAACCTCACAGTGTTACCAACCTCACACTGTTAAAAGGATTATATGAGTTTGACACATGGACAGCGCTTAGAATGATGCATAGTACCTGCATAGTAAGTCCAGAAAAAGCTAACTAATATCATCATTAAAAAAAGAATTTCCCTTATATAAGAATGTAAGTAATATTTTCCAAAGTGCCTGTAAACACTGTTTTTATTGAGAAGGACAACAATGACAAGAACCTGATACATATCTTTTTATCACATAATGCAGGTAACATGTTTTTTTCTTTTGGTTTTACTCTCAGAAAGCTGGACCTAAATTTATTTATTTGCGGTAGTAGTAAATTTCTTTATCCCTTAATGTCAATGTTTCTGTTTATAATTTAATGTCCGTTGTAGAAAATTACTGTATTTTGCATTACCTGTAAAAAAAAAAATTACCTGTGCACTTGATGAATAGCAGAAGTAATACAAATGCAGATATTTTATGTGATAAAACAATAGTATTAGATATTCTTTATATTTTACATCTTTGCTATTTTTCTAAAAGGAATTGTTTCTTTTTCAGGCCTGAAAATAAAACACCTGCTGAAAATAACAAGGTATTGTAAAAAAAGTAAATGATCTAAAATATTATTTAAAAAAAATGTTCTAAAAGGTAAGGTGAAAAAAAAAAGTTTTGTTATAAAGCTGTTTGCTTAGAAAAAGTGATTAAAAAACAGCCGTTGATAACTGTACCTTCTAAGAACAATCTGTTTCTTTAAGAAGTACCTGTGTTTTTGCTCGTACAAAAAAAAATGGAGAAATACCACTTCTGTACATTTAGCGTATGTTATAAATCTTTCTAGGACATTGTGAAACAGTATTATTTATCTTATAGGTCAAAAACCAAATACATTCTGGAGCTGACTTTGCTGACTCAATGTGATCGTCTGAAACAGCCTCAGAATGCGAGTTGTCTCTCTCTACTTATGAGAATTTTTTGTTGCTGATTGAACAACTTAAAATGGAGTGTAAAGGTAGGACCATTGCATAAATGCAAGACCTTTTAATGTATCCTGCAGTAATGTGTGTATACATTGCCGAGAACTGATGCATGATAGTGAAGCTCATCTCAGAAATATTCTCAGTGTTACAATAAAAAGAGAACAAATGTATACTGTACACCAAAGAGCTATGATAACTCCACTGTACTTTTCTCAGTATGAATGGCACTCCCAGTCTTTTAGTTGGCTCTGTTTCTCTCCTACGCCTTCCCCCAATGTCAGGTTACCATTTTTTTCCCACCTGGAATGCTGCAGGAATCTTAGGAATCCTAGAACTCTTTTCTCTAATACCCTACCTCCTGAAATCATGGTCTACTCTGCAATCATAATGATATGTTTTTAAAGATTCGGATCTGATCATGGTATTCCTTTGCTTATAACTCAGCTGCAACTACTCATTGCTATAAGGTTAGAGATCTGAATCCTCTAGCTTTATCCTGCATCGTTTCTACCCTTCTCTTTCTCTGTGTCCCACCTGGTGTCTTAGATGATTGTTCCAGCAGTCGATAGTTTCAGTGAGGTATAACTGACACACTATAGACTGCACATATATAAAATGTACAATTGCATGGACATGTGAAACCATCATCATAATCAAGAGAGTTAACATGTTGATCATTCATAAAAGTCTTTTCCTGTCCCTTTGTATTCCTTTATTAAGAAACTGCTGAATTGTTTCCCAAGGTATTTGAATTGATTTTTCATTCCAACCATAGGTATATGACATTTCTTGTTGTTCTGTAGCATCTCAAGATCTTATTATTGCTGTTTTTTAAATTTTGAAATTTCAGCCATTATAATGGATATGTATTCATATCATTATGGTTTTAATGTGCATTACTCTAAGGAGTAATAATGTTGAACATCTTGTATGGGCTTATTTGCTACCTATATGTCTTCTTTGGTGAACTGTCTTTTCCAATCGGGGTAGCTTATGAACGTTTAAAATTGAGATTTGAGTCAATCAGCATTTATACATACACCAAAGGTTGTCAGACCTTTTCATTTTGAAACTCATTTGTGGCAAAATGGCCTCTGTCACAGCCAATCAACACTGCCATTGTAGTATGAGACCAGCCGTAGACCATGCATATGTTAAAAAGCACAGCTGCGACTGTTCTTCAAGACGGCAAATAGGAACAGCTCTGGAGTGCAGTTCCCAGCGAGAACGCACAGGCCGCCACAGGTGATCCTCAGGCAAGCAGGGTCTGGAGTGGACCTCCAGCAGTCCTACAGCAGAGGGGCCTGTTAGAAGGAAAACTAAAAAACAGAAAGAAATAACTTCATCAACAAAAACGATGTCCACTCAAGAGACCCCCATCTGAAAGTCACCAACTACAAAGACCACAGGTCGATAACTTCACAAAGATGGGAAGAAACAAGTGCAAAAAGGATGAAAATACCCAAAATCAGAACTCCTCCCCTCCTCCAAGGGATCACAACTGTTCACCAGCAAGGGAACAAGGCTAGATGGAGAATGAGTCTGATAAATTGACAGAAACAGGCTTCAGAAAGTGGGTAATAACAAACTTCTTTGAGCTAAAAGAACATGTTCTAACTCAATACAAAGAAACTAAGAACCTTGAAAAAACGTTAGACGAAATGCTAATGAGAATAAACAGCTTAGAGAACATAAATGACTTGATGGAGCTGAAAAACACAGCGCAAGAACTTTGTGAAGCATACAAAAGTTTCAATAGCCGAATTGACCAAGCAGAAGAAAGGATATCAGAGATTGAAGATCAACTCAATGAAATGAAATGAGAAAGCAAGATTAGAGAAAAAAGAGTAAAAAGAAATGAACAAAGCCTCCAAGAAAAATGGGATTATGTGAAAAGACCTAATCTACGTTTGATAGGTGTACCTGAATATGACGGAGAGAGTGAATCCAAGCTGGAAAACACTCTTCAGGATATTATCCAGGAGAACTTCCCCAACTTAGCAAGGCAGGCCAATATTCAAGTCCAAGAAATACAGAGAACACCACAAAGATATTGCTCAAGAACAGCAACCCCAAGGCACATAATTGTCAGATTCACCAGTGTTGAAATGAAGGAAAAAATGCCAGGGGCAGCCAGAGAGAAAGGTCAGGTTACCCGCAAAGGGAAGCCCATCAGACTCAGCAGATCTCTCGGCAGAAACCCTACAAGCCAGAAGAGAGTAGGGGCCAATATTCAACATACTTAAAGAAAAGAACTTTCAACCTAGAATTTCATATCCAGCCAAACTAAGCTTCATAAGCGATGGAGAAATAAAATCCTTTATGAACGAGCAATTGCTGAGAGATTTTGTCACCACCAGACCTGCCTTACAAGAGCTCCTGAAAGAAGCACTAAACATAGAAAGGAACAACCAGTACGAGCTACTCCAAAAACGTACCAAATGGTAAAGAGCATTGACGCAATGAAGAAACTGCATCAACTAATGGGCAAAACAGCCAGCTAGCATCAAAATGGCAGGATCAAATTCACACATAACAATATTAACCTTAGATGTAAATGGGCTAAAAGCCCCAATCAAAAGACGCAGACTGGCAAATTGGATAAAAAGTCAAAAACCATTGGTGTGCTGTATCCAGGAAACCCATCTCATGTGCAAGGATACACATAGGCTCAAAATAAAGGGATGGAGGAAGATTTACCAAGCAAATGGAGAGAAGAAAAAAAAAAAGGAGTTGCAATCCTAGTCTCTGATAAAATAGACTTTAAACCAACAAAGATCAAAAGAGACAAAGAAGGGCATTACATAATGGTTAAAGGGGTCAATGCCACAAGAAGAGCTAATGATCCTAAATATATATACACCCAATACCTGAGCACCGAGATACATAAAGCAAGTTCTTAATGGCCTACAAAGAGACTTAGACTCCCTACACAATAATAGTGGTAGACTTTAACACTCCACTGTCTATATTAGACAGATCAATGAGACAGAAAATTAACAAGGATATCCAGGACTTGAACTCAGATCTGGACCAAGCAAATCTAACAGATATTTACAGAACTCTGTACCCCAAATCCATAGAATATACATTCTTCTCAGCACCACATCATACCTCTAAGACTGACCACATAATTGGAAGTAAATCACTCCTCAGCAAATGCAAAAGAAGTGAAATCATAACAGTCTTTCAGACCACAGTGCAATCAAATTAGAACTTAGGATTAAGAAACTAACTCAGAACTGCACAACTTCATGGAAACCAAACAATTGGCTCTTGAATGTGGACTGGATAAACAATGACATGAAGGCAGAAATAAAGATCTTCAAAACCAACGAGAATGAAGACACAACATACCAGAATCTCTGGGACACATTTAAAGCAGTATCTAGAGGAAAATTTATAGCAATAAATGCCCACATGAGAATCAAGGAAAGATCTAAAATCGACACCCTGTCATCAAAATTGAAAGAGCTAGAGGTGCAGGATCAAAAAACTCAAAAGCTAGCATAACTGAAAGAGATAGCGACACAAAAAACCCTTTAAAAATTAATAAATCCAGGAGCTAGTTTTTTGAAAAGATTGACAAAATAGATGGACCACTAGCCAGATTAATTAAAAAAAGAGAGAAGAATCAAATAGATGCAATAAAAAACAATAAAGGGGATATCACCACCAATTCCACAGAAATACAAACTACCATCAGAGATTACTACAAACAACTCTATGCACATAAACCAGTAAACCTAGAAGAAATGGATAAATTCCTGGACACTTGCACCCTCCCAGGCCTAAACCAGGAAGAAGTCAAAACCCTGAACAGATCAATAACAAGGTCTGAAGTTGAGGTAGCAATTAATAGCTTACCAACAAAAAAAAAGCCCAGGTCCAGATGGGTTTACAGCTGAATTCTACGAGCCATACAAAGAGAGCTAGTACCACTCCTGAAATTATTCCAAACAATCCAAAAAGAAGGAATTCTTCCCAAATCATTTTATGAGACCAACATCATCCTGATACCAAAACCCAGCAGAGACTTAGCATGAAAAGAAAACATCAGGCCAATATCCATGATGAATATAGAAGCAAAAATCTTTAATGAAATACTGGCAAACTGATTGTAACAGCACATCAAAAAGCTTATCCACCATGATCCAAGTAGGCTTCATCCTGGGATGCAAGTCTGGTTCAACATACTCAAATCTATAAACGTAATTCACCACATAAACAGAACCAAAGACAAAAACCACATGATCATCTCAATAGGTGCAGAGAAGGCCTTCAACAAAATCAGCAGCCCTTAATGTAAAAACTCTGAATAAACTAGGTATCGATGGAACATATCTCAAAATAATAAAAGCTATTTATGACAAACCCACAGCCAATATCATACTGAATGGGCAAAACTGGAAGCATTCTCTTTGAAATCTAGCACTAGACAAGGATGGCCTCTCTTACCACTCCTATTCAATAGAGTATTGGAAGTTCTAGCCAGAGCAATCAGGCAAGAAAAAGAAATAAAGGATATTCAAATAAGAAAGGAGGAAGTCATACTGTCTCTATTTGCAGACGATGTGATTGTATATTTAGAAGATCCCATCATCTCAGCCTGAAATCTCCTTACTGATAAGCTTCTTCAGCAAAGTCTCGGGATATAAAATCAATGTGCAGAAGTCACAAGCATTCCTATACACCAATAACAGACAAACAGAGAGCCAGATCAAGAATGAACTGTCATTTACAATTGCTACAAAGAGAATCAAATACCTAGGAATACAACTAACAAAGGACATAAAGGATCTCTTCAAGGAGAACTACGAACCACTGCTCAAAGAAATAAGAGAGGACACAAACAGATGGAAAAACATTCCATGCTTATGGTTAGGAAGAATCAATATTGTGAAAATGTCCATACTGCCCAAAGTAATTTATAGATTCAACACTATCCCCATCAAGCTACCTATGACAGCCTCTTCACAGAACTGGAAAAAACCACCTTAAACTTCATGTGGAACCAAAAGAGAGCCCGCAT